CCGGACTCTTTCCTTCTTTTGGGCTCTGTCCTTCTTCCGGCCTCCCCTCGTCCGCCTTCAGACGGGCAGCAGCGAGTTCCGGCTCGGAGCGGGAAAACCCGCACTCCGCTTCCGGGGGAGGAGGAAGAGGAGGAGGAAGGGCGGCTATTGGGGCTGGCGGCCGAGGGGCGGGAAGGCGCCAAAATCGCCTCTCGGGGCCCGGCCGCGGTCCCGCTGCCTCAGCCGTGCTGTGCCTGCTCGGCCGGCCAGCGCTGAGCCAGCTCACACGGTGCTTGATCCAGCCCAGGCACCAGCAAGGTCCTTTGTGAAGATCTTGCGGGAGGCGTTACCCAGGACAGTGGTGAACTCCAGATGGTCGTTTCTCCTCTCATCTACCGGGGCAATCAGTATCACAGAAGTTTGTCAGCCTGGTCAAGCTTGATTTCCCCTTGGTGAAGCCATACTGACAACTCAATGATTTTCTTGTCACTGAGAGGCCTGGAAATGGTTATTGGGATTGTCTGCTTCATTTCTTTCCCAGAGATGAGGCTGACTGGCCTGTGGTTCTCCCTGCCTTCTTCCTTCCTGCCCTACTTGAAGATGGAGGTGGCATTTGCTTTCCTCCAGCCTAAGGCAGCAGTCCCAGGCATCATGATCCATGAAAGATAGTTGAGAGCGATCTCACCATGACATCTGTCAGCACCCTCAGTACAGTTGGTGCATCCTGTCAGATGTATAGACTTAGCACGCATATGCCCAGCTTGCTAATGCTCTTGCTGTATTCTCTGGCTTGATCCTCTCCCCTAAGGGTACGTCTTCCTTGGTCCAGCCTTTTCCCCTGATTTTTGGAGCCTGAATTTTTGAAGGCTGGTCTTGCTAGTGAAGACTGAGGCATGTACTGTGTCACTATATCATCTGTCTCATTTAGCAATGGGCCTACATTTTCCTTAGTCTTCCTTTTGTCACCTATGTACTTATAGAAGCTGTTCTTCGACATCCCTGGCTAGATCCAATTCTAGTCATGCTTTATCTTTCCTAACTTCATCATTGTATGCTTGAGCTGTATTTCTCTGAGGTAAGCTTGCTTCCATGCTTTGTATGCTTCCTGTTTGTGTTAAGAGTCTGACCGGGAATTCCTTATTCATCTACACAGGCCTCATGGCATTTTTGCCTAACTTCCTGTTCACTGAGCGTGGAGGAAGTTATCCTTAAATATTAACCAGCTTTCTTGGGCCCCTCTTGCCTCCAGGGATATATCACACGGGGCTCTTCCAGTCAGATCTTTGAAGACAGCAAAATTCACTCTCCAGAGTGGTGAGCCTGCTTTTTATTCTTCACACTCCCCTCAGGATCTGGAGCTCCCCCATCTCATGCTCACTGTGGCCAAGGTTGCCTTGAGCTTTGCATTTCCCACAATCCCTTCATGGGTATAGGTCCAACAAAGCATTGCTCATTATTGGTCCTTGTTGACTCCTTTATGACTTGAAACAGAAACCTCTGGATTGCTTATGTCCTGCTGTATTGTCCCTCCTGCTAATATCTAAATGATTGAACTCTTACATTAGGACCAAGGCTTGCAAACACGAGGCTGCTCCTATCTAGAAAAGGACTGGGAGATTTCTCCATTATGGTGTCTCGTAGACATTTCTTTGCTTACATTCAAGAGCTGAAGGTGACCTCTCCTAAGCTCCATCTTCCTGATTTTGTGTTCTGTTCCTGCCACATTACCTTATGCCCTTTGCTTTTTTCTGTGTCCATCAATCCCCCACAAGGCTGCTGGTTACTCTCTCACTTAATTCTTAGTTTAAGTCTCTGCTTATGTGGTCATGATCCAACTGGTAAAAATAGCTTTGCCCTGCTTAGTGAGGTGGATCTCATCTCTGTCAAGCAGAACGTGATTTGCAAGCAGGGTGTCATGGTCATACAACTCAAATCCTTGTCACCAACACAGGTTCTGCCAACAAGTATTGACTTGTCCTGTCAGTGCCCCCTCACTGCCAGGATTGAGAAAACATCACTCAGACCCCCACGCCCGTGATGCTTGCTATTTATCTGTTACTGCTCTCCTGCTTCTTTTTGCCACCCAAAGTAAAAGTCAGTATGAATCATCTTTACTCAATGCCTTGGATTTGAGTAAGCTGAACAGTGTAAATGTCACCTGTGAGCTGTGTGTCAGTATAAAAGAGCTGCTTGCACACCTGCAGAGCACTTCACTGGTGAGTGCTTATCAAATCCTGTAAACACAGGAGAGAAAGAATTCAAGGTTGCATGTTAAATTTTGGTGTAATGCAAGAGAATAAACAACTATCAGCAATATCATGTCACATACTCTAAGGATTAATTAGTGCACTTATTTTTCTTGAAAACACAGAGTTACTGTTAGTTTTAAGCCTCTTTCCATATGGATGTAAAAACAGCTTTATGATAGAAGATAGACATACTGGCTGCTAATTGTATCAACTAGTTATATATTCATTAACAGCTGTATGACTTAATCATTCTTGTTGGATTGTATAAACAACACTCATTTGTCTACTTTTATTTCATTTTTAAAATAATGGAAACCTGACTGCCATTTGGAAAGTCATTGTTGCTGCCTAAACTTTAATATTTTGCATTTGTCACTTGATTTGCTAACAGAATGTTGATAGCAGTCATTCTGTTTGTAGCTTGCATTTGCACTTGATAACTTTTGATTCTTGAGAACATATAATATGAGGACCTGTAGTAAAAAGTTACTAGGGCAGCATGGTGGAATTATATTTCCAAACTCTGAGACCCTTTGCAAATGGTGACAATTTAAATATGAATTTTTCAGTAGTCATTCTTGTAAATGTTTTCTCTTGCAATGACCAGTCCATATTTCCTCCTTGTCTGTAAACAATACAGTTAAGGAAAAAAATAGTAAGGGAATTGCCATGCAGTAATTTCAAATATGCTTACAAAACTCTGAATTCCAAAATTTGTGTATTTTGTCTAATTCCTATGAAAGAACAGTTATCAGGTTTTGGGCCAGCTTAGGAATGTTCTTATACAGAACTTGTTGGGGAGGGTAGGGGAGGTGAGGTAAGGAGAAGTAGGGGTTTTTGTGAGATCTTCATAAGATCTCCAAGTCCAAAGCTCAAATGAAGTCTAGATATCACATAAGATGTGGAAGCTGTCTCAGAGCAGATGATCTTTATAAACTCAGTAATGCTCTCTAGCAACTAAGTCCACATATTCCCTATATGCCCTTAATTATAGAGTAGGTTTAGATGAAATATTATTAGGAAGAAATTCCTTACTGTGAGGGTGGTAAGGCACTGGAACAGGTTGCACAGAAAAATTGTGGATGTCCTATCCATGGAAGTGTTCAAAGCCAGGCTGGATGGGGATTTGAGCAGCCTGGTGTAGTGAAAGATGTCTCTGCCCATGACGGGGGGGCTGGAACTAAATGATCTTTAAGGTCCCTTCCAACTTGAACAATTCTATGATTCTAATTCAAACATATTTCAACATTTTTGCTTCTCTCATTGCTCCCTTAAGTGAAACACTGATTGCCTTTATAACCATTGATTTCCCTCTTGTATCAACAGGACATACTGCTACTTACTCTTGATCTAGAAAATTTAGATATCTGGTGGTTTGGGTTTTTTCACTCCTATCTATATACCCTAATAACAGGAGATATAAACTTGACATGCATTAAACTCCCTGATTCATTCAACAGTATGCTTTTTCAGTAAGGTTTTTATTCAATTCTTCACATATCTCAATATTCTTATATTAGAAAACAAGTGCTCTTCTGAGAACTTCACGATAAAGTTACCAGATTTTTTTCCATGCTAACCTTCAAATTCAATCTAATATGCAGTAATAGAAATAAATAGTTCAAATTATTAGTTTTAGTATTGCTTATCTTTTCAGCAGTAAATATCCAGTTACTAATTGCCATACAGTCTAATACCACTACAGCTTCTGTAACAGCCATCAGTCCTCTCCCATTCTGAGGACTGCAAATAATGTGCCCTCTATTGCTCATATCAGAATTTTACTTTGGAACACCACACATTTACCTATAGCCAATTAATTTTTATTTTAATGTAATTTTTGGGAGAAGCAGTATTACACTCACCTGATATCCCTTTCTGTTCCTTCTGAAGTGTCTAATCTGTGATTATCTAGTCTTCAATTTTGTATTCTCTGAGTTTCTCGGGTAATTTTGAAAAAAAAAATAACTTGTATTTTGCACCTTTCTGTTCACACTGCAAGAGATATGGCCCTTTTGTTAATGGTATAGTTGTGTAACAGCTTTTATCTCCCGTCATCCTGTGGGATAACATTGTTTCTCTACTTTAGTAAAAGGAAGGAAGGGTCTTTTTGCAGCTCGCTCACTTTTTATCCTTTGTTACAACATTAAAATATCTCCTTCCATTTGTTGTTCCTTTTGTCCAGAATACCCACCTATCTCCCTGGTCCATGCCTGGGAGCAGGTCCTCCACCCTACCATGAAACTCCTCCTCCACTTTTTGTGGTGAGCTGCCAGCCCCACAGGTTTTCCTTTGACAACTCACCAAGGCAGCAGAACAGAAAAGCACAAAGTGCAGCAGGATCTGCAGCGCTGCACCAGCCACAGGGAGAGCAGCTGCTCACCTTCAGCTCCATCTACCTGCCCAAGGGCTTCGGCACCGCCCGAAGGGCAGAGCAGCTGCAGCCGTGCGACATCAGCTGAGACAGCTGTAAGGTTAGAGTGCCCTTGTAAGGTGGGCCAACTCCTTCCCCAGGTAAAATGACAAGCTTTACAGAAGCTGGCTTCAGAACTGTTATTAAAAAGAAAGAAAAAAACCCCAAAAAACGAGCGAGAGAAAACCCCAACCTTGTACGTTAGAGTGTACCACAGAGGTGGTGTAAGAAAAGGTCCATTAGACAGTGAGGACAATAAAACAGCACTAAGACATAGCAATGTTTCATTTTATTTGATAGAAAGTTGCTTCAAAAATATGATTAACTATATACATTATTATATATGCTGTACATACAATTACATATACAAAATTTACATTATAGCAAACATCCTTCTGTTACATTTTATAGATGGTAGTTAATAGCATGAGATCGAACTAACATATTTCATACCTGCTTTCATCCTGATCCTAAATACAAGAAATTGTTAGGTGAGAGATGAAAAAGGATAGCAAATCACTTAATGTGTACCCCAGCCCACAAACAAGTCTTCTCCACAGTGCATTCTATTAGTGCCTTGCTCTAGAACAGTCAGATTTGCAGCACTTCCCTTCAGCAGTATTTGGCTGATAAAAAAAAAAAAAATCTGAAGATAAGGTTAGCATTCACCCTAACATTATTTCTAATTTATTAATGTAACTCACGTGTCCTGAAATCCTCCTTAAATCAAGCTAGATTTCTTCAACATAATGTCATTTTATTTTTCCAGTCTTATTTGTTAGTTGCTTGTTTGCCATGTTTGAAATAGATTCAGCTAATAGTACTCTCAGTTCTGGGAGAAGTACACTCAAACAGGAAAGCTATAGTCCCAAGCGTTCTCTCCTTCCCATGTCAGCACACTGGAAACCTGAAATCAGTCAGCAAGGGAAAAAATCATAAAACCACAGAATATGCTGAGTTGGAAGGGACCCATCAGGATCATTGAGTCCAACTCCTGGCCCTGCACAGGACACCCCAAGAGTCACCATGTATCCCAGAGCATTGTAAAAACACTTCTTGAACTCTGTCAGGCTGGTGCTGTGACCACTGCCCTGGGGACCCTGTATCTTCCACTCCTCCTCATAAGGCTGTTATGGGGTTTGTGTGACTGCCAGATGCTTCCTGGAAGAAGTGGTGTCAGATCCCAAGGGGAACTGTCCAGATGCAAGGATTTTTCTGGTCCTAGTCCCATGAGGAATATTCTGCCTGTCCACCTTTTCTCTAAGCAAGGGGTAGCATACCAAAATCAAAACACAGGGAGTAGAAGCTGGCAACTCTGCCCTTTACTAGTTGCTTCTGCTGAAGTGTCCTCTATTTCCCCACCGAAGGGACCAGGCACCCTTATCCTATGGACTTGATGGTCAGGGAAGAAGAAGAGAGTAAGAGCTGCTGAACCAGCAGAGTACCAGCATCAGAATCCCTGTGAGAGAATGGCTTCCAGAACTAAATAGGCTCTCCTGGAGGTCTCTTCCATGAGCTACAAAGGAACAAGGCTTCTTCCATTGCCTTTCCTACTTTGAGAAGCTAAAAAATAACAGCTTCTTTCCTGTGGATATCTTGAAAGTTGTAGTTTCATTGGCCTAAGAAAGTTATTTTCCAAGTGAGTAGCAGCCTTAAACATCTATTTCATTTCTTCTCTGCTCATGTGGCCCTGTGCTTTCTACTCCTGTGCTGGCCACAGTCTTCATTTCACTAGGAGATCTTTCTATTTTCTCTCCATATAACTATATATTTTTTGCATTAATATACAATAACTTTCTTTGATCAGTTAAGCAGTTTTGCCTCAGCTGTCAAGGTGAAAGCAAGGGGAATTATGGTTCCTCATATATATTCTTTTGGTAGTACTTTAAATAATGTTTTTTCCTAACTAAGGGGAACTCTACTTGTATTCTTCAGTACAAGTTTTAATTACTGTATAACATGCATATATCTTATAACATCTTAAATTCAAATATATTAATAGGTCTTCAATTTTTTTCTAGACTATGGGCTTTTCATTTGTTTGAGAAAAAAAAGTTCTCAGGCTTCTATTTCTGTCCACTGTTGGATACTACCATACATCTAGTACAATTTAGATCTTTCTTTTTTATTTTATATTGTTTCTTAATCTCTGTTGAGCACATGAGCTGGAATGAAACACCTGTTATTCCTTGTCTGAATTCCTGAGATCCTGTCCACAACCCTGGTTGGGAGAGGTCGCTGGTGAGCTGCTGGCGAGTTGAGACTCCACCTTAGAAGAAGTGGGTTTGGGACACTCCTGCTGACCTTCTGGGGTGGGAGGTGGAGGAGTCAGGCAGCTGTCACTTTGCTGAAGTTGTGCATTAGCAGCTGGTGAATCATCATCCTGCTGGTCTTGTGTGCAAGGAGGAACAGCCGAAGAGATGATGCCCTGAGGAGCAGCTGTTGAACCACTGTCGAGACAATTTATAACTAAATTTGAGATATTAACATGAAATGTGCAATTAGTACTGTTCTTAGATTCCAAGCTGCAGAGTTTGTTTATTAGCTAGCTAAATTTGTTCACTGTCATACTGCCCTTTTCCTTGTTTCATCTCAGCTTCATGGATCTGAGATGGAAATTTGTCTGTCTCATTGGATTTGTTATTATTGGATTTGTTATTTCTCTTGGATCATAAGTCTACTCTGGGGAAAGGTGGAGGAGGTGAGTAAGGAAGAAATAGCAGCAAGGGAGGAAATAAAAGCTGCAGCAACACTAGTTTTTTAAGTTAGTAACTTGTTTGGATAAATGGTTACTAAAGGTTCTGCACAACAGAATTTTCTCTACCCCTCTCTGTACTTCATTGCTGGAAGGTGGACTGAAGGAGAAGCAGTGAGATTATGAGCACTTTTAAGTTGTCTTACTTTTCTTACAGAGAATGTGAGTTAATTCCATTAACTCATCTGAGTTAATGCAATCACCAAGTTACCTTGATTACTTAGATGGTGCTTAACTGCTTTGACAGTGAGAGAATGTGTAACAGATGTAAAAAAATTCATTATAAATGCATCAGTTCAAAAGACACTATTCAGGCAATATCTGAATTGGTCACAATGGATGTTGGATTGGATTTTACAGAAGCACTGATCAATAACAGACATAAGGGCATTTTTAACATACTGAAAGGGCATTTTTAAAATATTTGGTTTAAATTGGAAGGCAATATTAAATAAGAACTCAGAATTGTCTTAGTATAGTTAAGGTTTTCCTATCAAGGCTTCAGGAATACTGTGTACATTAGAAGACTCAGGAATTAGCAAAATGAATTAATCCATCTGATGAAGATAAATATTGAAAATATTTAAGATTTTAATACTTTCAAAGAAGACAAAATCTGTGGTTTTGTGCTGTTATTTTTCCTGTCTGTGTTAAGGACAAGGAAAAACACTGCAGTGAATCATTGCATACTGTATATTACAAATACACAGGACCTTTAATTTATGAAGTCTTCTCATCTCTAGGAGAGAAGCATGAACATAGTAAACTTAATTTTTGCCAGGTTGGTGCAATTGTTTATTGTTTCCAGATGGAAAAACCTGTGGAATATCCTAACAGTTATTCTCAAGTATTTCTCAAGTAATAATTCACAGGCCACTGGTGGTCCATGGAGTACTACCAGGTGGCTTGGAAAGGAATTTTAGAAGCAAAGCACTATTCAAACATTTGTATCATAACACAGACAAATGTCTTGGGGTACTTCTTATTTGTTGTTTTTTGGGGTTTTGTTTTGTTTTGTTTTGGTTTCTTTCCTTATGAAGTGTCTTAAACTTTCAAATTCAGATTTTAAAGCCATGCAGGAGATAAGTGAACCAAGAAGAAGAAAAATGCTACTTCAGCAGAGAAGTCTAAGTAAGGACAAATCTCTTGTTCCCTGTCACCCTATTTTAATCTCTTGTCCTGTTCCTTGCTCATTTCTTATCAGGTTCTTGAGGAGAGGCTGAGGCAGCAGCTGAGCCTGTTTAGGCTCAAGAAGGCTCGAGCTGATCTTATCTGTGTGCACTACTGTCTGATGGGAGAGTGCAAAGCAGATGGAGGCTCTTCTCAGTGGGCCCCAGTGGCAGAAGCAGAGGCAATGGGCAGAAATGGAAACAAAGGAGGTCCTGTGTGAACATCAGCCAACACCGTGAGGGTGGCGGAGCAGTGGCACAGGGTGCCTGGAGAGGTGGTGGAGTTTGCCTTTGCAAATACTCAACCAAACTGTACATGGCTCTGAGCAGCCTGGTCTGGGTGACCCTGCTTGGAGCAGCAGGCAGGGGCTGGACCAGCCAACTTACAGAGGTGCCTTCCAGCTCCACCATTCTGCCATGTGTGCATCTGGTATACGTGGAAACAGCACTGTGCCAATAGCTGACTTCACCGACCGTAGCCATGAGTTTGGTAATTTTATATTAGTTTCATTCAAAAGGCAAAAATGCCCCTAATAGGCAAGATGTTATTAAATAATTCCTCTGACCCAATAATTTAAACTCTTCTGGCAGTAAAGGATTGCCAGCTTAGCTCACCTACAGTACTCTTATAAATACATCGCAAAGAGGTGTGATTTTCCTTATATTCACTTGTGGGTTAATTGGGATACAACAGGTGACATGAAAATGGAATTGACTGGTCCATGGTGAACCAGAAATCAATAAGAAATGTAAATAATGTCAAATCTAAAATAGACAGCAAAGCAACTCTATGTGTTTCCTTCTGTTTTATCTTCCTGTCATTTAATAGTCTTATGCTGCTTTGTCTGGAACCAATAACTGTTTTGGTGCAGTAATGTATGCTTCTGTATTATGTACTTTTTGTACAAGGTTATGGAAATATTTACTGGCTTGGTAGTCCATATACCAAGTAGGTAAATATCTAAATTTTAAGACTTCTTTTAGATTTTATTACTATGAATTAATATGCAGAATTAGACAGTGTAGGCATTTTTTTATGTGACTTACCAAAAACTATGTTTCTGAAAAGCACCTGAGTTAAGGTCTTTGCTTAAAATTGGCTTCTTGGTGCAATTGTTCAGTTTTTGTCCCATCATTCGCCTAATTAAAGCATCATCTGTGTTTGGAAACAACTGTTTTGTGATTCCTGCAAAATAAAGAGATTATATATATATATATATATATGGATCCTTCAAAAAAGGGAAACAAGAAATGTGTGATATAAAATATATTTCTTGCATCTTTTAAAGTTCCAGCTACTTCAGCTTCCACTCTAGTTATTTCACAGTCTTTACAAACTCCTTAGATTTTACACAGCTCCCGTATTTCTTTGTGCCTTCCACATTGCTCCCTGCTCTTGGGCAGACTAAAAAGGAACGCCAGGGCCACAAGGGCTTCTGTAGTGAGTGATTTGTGCTTGCTAATCATCTGCCCTATGTTCTGTTCTTGATCCCATGTCCTTTTCCCATCCTCATCAGTCCTTATGACTCTGAATCTTGCTTTATTTTTTCTCATTAGTTTTCATTTGCGGGTGATGTCACTTTTTCTAAAAATTTCCCTTCTGTTTTGCTGGCTACATTTTTTGAATGCAATAATAACAGGACTCAACATGAGGAATGTGATTCCTGCTCCCTTCTTTTCCATCGTCTTCCCTCCCCTTGATTTCCCTGCCCTTTAATTTTAATTTATTTTGAAGTCCTACAATTTCCATCTTCTTTAAATAATCTGATTTACTAACTCATTTTCTACAGTCCTTGAACTCCCAAGCTTCCTTCTCATTTTTCTTTTTTCTTATATAATGTTGACACTTTTCTGTTTAAATTTCAGAGTATTCTCTTTTACCTTAACAAAGCTCTTTGATTTCTTTATAGGCTTTGTCACTGAATTCTCCACAACATGCTGTATTCCATTCTCTGATTACCTTTTCAGATTTGTCTAGGCCCTAGTAGGATTTAGAATCATTTGGGTTGAAAAAGACCATTAGGATTGAGTCCTCCCATTTTTCTCATCCCATTAAATATTTTTCCTTTTTCTCAAATGTCATTCTGAAACTGTCTCATCTTTACTGCCTCTAAATATATTTTTACCATCCTACACACTCTTTCCTTTTATCTCTCTTGACTTTGGGCCTTTTTTTTTCCTAACAAGGTTCTTAAGAAAAAAAGGTTTTTGCAACTGATAACTTTTGAAACTGCTGGGTAATTTCAACAAAACTGTACTAAGGTAGAGGAACTGGAGCTAAACTGAGAAGGGAACCAAGAGAACTGTAAAGTCCAAGGGAATGCCAACTGGGGAGGAATTATAGTACAGTAATTAAGTCTATATTGTTCATGTATTTAGTTATAGGCAAGAATCCAATTAAAATTTGGCTTCATATGCTCACAAAATACTGTTTTCTTTAAAGCTAATACTTCCATCTGAAATTATTTTCTGTCCTATGCACCAAATATTTTCTGCTGTAAACCTCAGCATAAATCAAATTTTGTTTGCTTCTCTGATCACTATTTCTGCTTTCTATACAGTCTCATTTTGCCTCTAGCACTATTTAAAATGTCAGAATTCATAACATTCACTAAACTTCAGAACACAGCAGACATAATTTAAAATTTGATCCAAGTATGTCCTCTTTTTGCCTTTCCTTATGTGTTATCATCATGCTCCAAGTTTGATTGTTGCAGGTTAACCTTGCAAGGGCTAAAACAATTTAAAATACCACTGTTCCTGAGCAGTCCCCTGAATAAAACCCACAGAATTCACACAATAGAAATATTATTACTTAGCATTTCACTGGCAGTATTTTTAACAGATGGTTTAAAAAAAGCATGTAGCTAAAGAAGGAAATAGGAAGCAGCTCATCACCTGAGTAGACCAGCTGCTAAGCATGACAGCCCCTCCCTCCAAGCCCCCCAGTCAAGTCAGAGCCACATTGAGTAACTTAACAAGTCATCACCTATGATTTCCTGAACTTCATTCTGATTCATAGCTGGTTTTGCCGCTTTATCCTTTGAAGAGGAGGATTTTGCACCTGTCAGGCTGTGTGTAGCCATGTATTCATGTGTATAAAGTGCTTGCATCAAGTCATTTATAAATTTTTGAGGTTTGCTCTTGTTGCAAAGTGCAATCTGCCACTTTTCGATCTTGAACTGGAAAACAAAATTGGTCACAGGCATAACTACTGCAATTTTCTAGAAATTATATACTAATAGCACTGAAATATCTTTTTCATTTTCTATTTCTAAACCACAATTTCAAAAGTAATCTCTGCAAACTTGAGATAACACCACACATGCATACTGCTCAGCATTTGGGACCACACACCCAGCTTGATCATTTTCCAGAAGGAATTGTAGGGTAGAGTAAGGACCCCATGCATCCTAGCAAACCCTTCACCATCCTCATTACTCACTAGTGGAGACAGGACATGTTCAGACACAGCAAAATCCTTCTGCTTGCTCTCCATGCAGGCTGGCTGTGGTCCAGTTCTGGCATGGTTTCTGTACTGCCTTGGTAGCATGGCACTGTGCCCAAGCAAATATTCCTGCCTGCGAGCAGACATGCCCTAAGAACTGTGACATCTGGTCCTGGGCTTTGAGAGTGGCTTCTGCATGCAGCAGTGGTACAGCCAAAGAGTTTGAACTCTCCTAATAGGCAATTTTGAGCTATCTTATGAAGTAAGGCAGGCTGCTCAGAAAATTAGGTATTTTTATTTCTTTAAAGATGTTAGGTCAAACTTTGTGGTTTCCAATATGCAGTCAAAACACACCACGATAATTCTTAACAGACTTCTTTGGATTTTAGCGCTCCATGACAACACACAGGAATGATTTGCATGGATTAGCATGACCCAATGCATAATAATGTTTATGTAAATAGTGAATGCAGACATTAGAATTATTCTTTTGGTTGTGCCTTCATTTTTTTCATGTACAGCCTCTGTGCCTTAGATTTCTCTATCATGTTCTGTTATAATTGCAGAGAATAAGGGAACTTCCTTACTCAGTATCTCTGTATACATGTATTTCTACTTAACTGCTAGCCAGTGTCTGGAACAGGAGAAGAAACATAACAGCCTCCAATTACAAATTAACAGTTTGAACAGACTGCTGGTATTCATCTTAGGTTATCTTTGAAATACTATTATTCCCCTCTGGCATCCAAACAATTTGGCTGGAAGTTATCCTTGGATCTTGGCATTTTCTTCATGCATCCACATTCTGCCCTTAGCCACAGATATGCAAGGTCACTGAAATTAAAGTGAATTTGAGTGTGTACAGGACACTGAATAAAACCTAATGCTTCTCATGGAAAGAGAATTCTGCACAAAAGGAGGTCATTAGTTATGTTATCAATGCAATGATGACAAATTATTTTACTAATGGTTATTTTTTATATAATGCTATAGCGGTAAACTTTATACCGTACAGTTTCATGCCCGAAATTCCCTTTGAACTGACCTGTTTTTCAGTCTGTTGCTCTTCATCTTCCACATTCAAAGTTATTGGTGAGCTGGAGTTACTATGCATAGCTGCATAGGAATCTGCTAATGGATTGTGAGATGCCCTCCAAACAGCATGTGGATGCAGACTGGATGTAGATGATGTCACTCCCCCTTTGAGCAGCGCTTCAGCCATCCCTACCAGTTCCTCAAAGTGAGTGACTGCCTGTGGCAACACTGAAATCAGATGAAAAGTGAGTGGTAAAATAGTAATGGAAGCTTTCAGACTCCAATTACATAAGCAGGGATATTTTTGCAATTAGATTCCTGTCACATAATGCAAAAGACTCAAAGTAGTCAGCAAAGACATTTCCATATACTTCTTTTCTCCTCTCTCAAATGCTTTCCTGCCATTCTGCTGTCCCCACTCATGAAGATCTGGCCTCAGTTTCTAGAATAGATCAGTTCAGTGCAAGGCTAAGAGGAACCATTAGTTTATGCTTATCCTGGCACGAAACAGACTATTTCTCTTTTTTCTTTTTACAATCTCAAAATCTCTACAAGTCCACAAAGCTATTGAATGTGGGCTAAGTGATGTCTGAGTTTTTTCCTTCAAAGAAGTCACACAGACTTCAGAGGCTTTTTATTTTTTTTTATCTATAGAGAATATGTTTTAAATAACCTTTCCTCAAAGTAATATTTTCAAATATAAACTTTTATTGCATCCATTAAGAAGAACCAAGGCAGAGCAAAAAGGATGCAAGAGATGACAAATCAGCAAGACACAGAATCACTAAATTAAATAAAATACTGTAAAAGACTGAGATAATTGCTCAGGATACAAGGTATTGACTTATATGTGTGAGAAAAGTTGTCAGACACAAAGAAAACGTTTACAAATAATATTTTAAAAGGTGGAGGTGAACGATTCACACCAAGATGAATAAGTTAAGAAATGCAATCAGGTGGGAAATGAAAATGATAAACAGTTGCAAAATCATCTGGCACTAAAACAAAACAGATACCACCAGACTGTCTAGGGATGGTGTGGTGTAGCTGGCATGGGAAGGAGTAAATCCTCTTTAAGCCTTATTCATTCACTAGTGGTTTGAAATTCTGGATTCAATTCTGGCTGCCTCAGAGTAAGGGATAGGGACAAGTGAGAGGCACTTCAGAGATGATGACTGAGAGATGAAGAGTTCATTTACAGAGGAACAAAATTTTTCATCTCTGGGAAAGAATTAAATTTGGTGTATCTGAAACTAACTCAGATTATCAGTAATGAGGAATCACCAAAGTAATTAGAAATTAAGTAATTTCAGAATAAATGAAATATCAATTGATCAAGAAAGACTGCTAGTAAATAAGGTTAGTTGGACTGGTAACTGAAGTATTTGAGCTTAGACAGGGGTTACACAGCATACAGAAAGGTTCTCTTGGGAACATCTGGCAGGATTTAGACACATTTTTCATTTCTAACTCTATGATTGCATGGCCTCTGTGTAAGTGCTGCTGGAATTAAATGCTGCCATGTATCACAGACTGTGATGCTAATGGTAGGCCTTGATCATGTCAGGTGCTTGAGCACCCATAATTCCCATCCAAATGGCCTCTTATAAATCAAGCTTTTCCTGACCTTCAGGCTTTCTTCTTCATCAAAATACTCCCAACTTTACCTTGAAGCATCACCAGGGACTGCCTTAGGCGGCAGTTTTCTCTCATGGTATCTGTCAGCTTCCTCTTGAGACTTTTAATTTTGGCACACAGTTCCACCTTGGAGAGTTGAAATAAAGGCTCTTCATCATCACTGCTACTTTCACTATATAGAAAGTTGCTTCCTGAGTATGGTCCTCTCTGGAAAAAACCCCAAACAAATCAATACTAACATTAAAATATCTTGCTAAATCAAAAAATTCTCTTGTTTAAACAGACTCAGTGCATTTTAAAAGCTTTTACCAAACATAGCTATTAGTATTCTTATTGAAATGAAAAATGAAACATCAGTGCAATATGTAACTGTGAGGTACTTATGTCTGTTCCCTATTCACCAATTTTCCAAAGCAGCATCTTTTAGACCTGTTAATTTCACTATGGCAAAAATCCTACGCCTCCCTCAAAAATACCTTTCAGGCTGTTTTTGCTTGATACATTAAAATTGCTGAAAATATGTTACCTGTTTGTTAATTAAAGATGTTTCAAGTTGACTCAGGATGTTGGCAGGAGCAGATGCCTGCAATGATTTCTTTCTTTTTATATGTTTCATCATCTTCCCCTGTAAAAAGTGCATAACAGTGCCTTTGCATTCCTATAGAGCCTTTCCTTACAGTATTTAATAATATACCATAAGTTTTTAATCACTGTGCACTTGACATTCTTGGTTAGTAGTTTTAAAAAATGTATCTGTAACTTTATTAACTTTTATGTTTCCCTTGCCTATATTTTGTCACAGTAGATCTCAGCACAAGGCACACCTCAGAAAACCTGCTCCCTTCTCTTTTTTATGCACTAGTCAGATTTCTGTCTTACAGGGGAAAATGCAATGGAGCTACAAAGCATCAAAGCCTCGAATAATACTTGTCTCTTGACACAGGAAAGGGCAAAATCCATTGGCCTAAGTAATTACTCTGACAGGTTATTGTGCTGAGGTACCATGTGAAGGCTGCCTGTATTCCTACCTTTACTGTACATCCTTTGTGTGTTACATTATGAAGAATCAATAGTTACAGTCTATTTCATTCCTTTATGGACCTAACAATATAAGGCACATAAAGACACAAACTCACCTTTTCTTTATCCAGGTCACTGTCCTCACTTTCTGAGAATATCATTTCTATCCTCTTCCTCTTGCCTTTTCCAAGGACTTGTATTTTTGTAATTTCATCTGCTCGTAATATCTTTTGCATCATTTCCACCAGCTCTTGGGGGTCATCTGAAGTGATGGAAAGGAAAAAGGCCAAAGCACAGAAAATCAGGCCTTAAAAGCACAGATAATCAGGCCCTAAAAGGAGGTTTCATATCAGACACATGTTCTGGAACTGCACTCACCACTCATGTACACAACTTTCACCAGGTGCTTTTCTGTCTTTCTTTCTCCCACAGGCCAGTTTACTAGTACATGCTCATTAGGTTTCAGAAGTCTTTCTAGTTCATTGTCATCACAGGGAAGGTCCTGGATCCATGAAGTCTCTCCAATTTGCAGTGAATTATCATTTACAAAATCAAACAGTGTGAATTTTTTCATTGTTAAGTGGCTTTCTTGTCACACAGACACTTCCTGAAGGATATCATAGGAAAAAGAGCAGTTACTGTATCATGCCACAGGGATGTTAAGAGAACCCTTTGAAAAGCCCCAAACAACCCTCCTTTTGCTGGATATTGGTAATTACCTTGTATGAAAATATCCTACAAAGTGAAAACTAGCCAAGCAGTGAGTTGTATCCCCCTTCAAAGATGGTAGGTGGTCTGTTTAACACCTGTACATCAGACATTTGCCTCCAAAACTATGCACAGAAAACAGCTTTCACTCACAGAGTCCTCGCTCCCATATTACTTCTATTCAATCTGGCTGGGATCTCTACTACTACTACATTTGTCTCAATAAAATTTTTAATCCAGCTTCTGACTAAAAGATACAGGTGTGATAGAACCTGTCCCTAGAATGGAGGAAAGTGCTAGCTATTCATGCTATTAAATGGGATGCATGTTTATCATTTCATGGTCAGGAAGACAATTGCAGCCACAGAAAACCAACCCAGAGCTACCCAGGACAACTGAGTGGGTGAGGTATGACACATCCTGGCAGTGGAAAACTTGATGTACAAAAGAAGTGACAGGCTAAGGACTCGAACAGAGCTGGGCTGCTTCATGAGGAATGACAGCAACAAGGAGAACCCAACCCCAAATATACACTTATATCATTTGCTTCATAAAACAATGCTTTTAAAGGAATGTGCTGTTCTGGGTTTTTTAAAGCACCGAATTTCTCTACGAGGAGAATGGAACAAGTTGTACTTTGAGCTTTATTTTCCCAGTTAGGATGATAGCTTTTCATGCAAGTATAAATTCTACTGGAAATGTAGCCATTTCTTTTAAGTGTTGCCATTCTATTCAGAGAAGATATTTTCTACTTTAAAATTATTAAATCAATGCATAGGAAATCTGATTTTCAAACCTGAGTCTTCTTTCCAGCAAACATGTGGTCAATTCATAAAGGTGAAATACTTTCACAGAGCAGAAAACTCATGAATTCCTAGATGTGACAGTGTGATTTGCGTTTGACTTGGCCTCAATCAGTCAGAAGCAAATTTAGGGCCTCATACAGAGGCTGTCAAAAAGGTAACTCAGAGCTAGAAAAGGAGAATTACATGGAGCTATTATGTCAAAGTGAGAATATCTGTCTGCTCTATAAAGTAATGTCAATTCATTTGCAGAAGCCCAGTTTGCCACAATTCCACGTGTCTGTTCTATGCCTCAACAGAGCTGGCTTTCCATACAGGGGTGAACTTGTTAATTTGCAAAAGACAGCTGCAGTCTTGTCAACATGTTTACTAATACAGTGAGGGAAGCAGTATAGATAAGAAATCACCATTAAAAGGAGTTTTAAACCAAACTTTTATGCAGAATATGCTTAGTGTGATAGTAGTAGGATTGTTAAGTATTACCTTACTGGAGAAAGGAGACTGTGTTTGCAAGAATTGACATTATTTTTCTTTAAAGATCAGAAAACATCCATCCCATACAAATTCTGGAAGAGGAAGCAGCCTGAATATCACTGCCTGGCATGACTCACTAGAGACCTCATTCTGCCACTGATCCCTGCTGGATGGATCCTCACACCACAGACAGGGATCATTCAAATGAAAAAAAAATATAGACAAAACAGAATCCAAAGGAACAAAAGTTCCAGCACTTTCCTCACTATGGACAGGTAAGGTCCAAACTAGAACTTCGTGTTTGTCTGAACAACAAAATATCAAATTTGAAACAGGCAGAGTATGCAATCAGTATTCTTCCTTCTTTTTCAAAATGCTTTTGAGTATATACTTCACTCAGCTTAACATTTCTCATCTGGCTCAAAGATGCTACTTCTGCCTCTGATCAACCCAGCACAGCAATCTCCACCACCCAGTTCTTCAATTCTCAAATGAAGTACTTGGATATTTCCCCCCTTGGCCTTGGCAGTTGTGAGCCTACTTCTTTACCCTCCTAAAAGCCCACAGAAGAGCCACAGAACTGCAGCAAAGTTAGAGCTGCTAAGTGTAACAACTGATTGATTGACTTCTATATTTTTTTAATGTTTCCCTGCAGTCCTCTAACAGTTTGTCTTTTGTCTCTCGTTTTGTATTAAGACAAATATTCTCTGAGCCATGGGACATTCATGTGGTCTGAACTTGTACAGGGTTAGCAAGGCAGCCCAGGATTTCCACAGGTACACTGAACAGGCTGTTCACAGCATGCAGGACAAGTGATGATCCCCCACATCAAACACCAGGGCTAGTCACGTACACACTGTGCCAATACCATGCACATCATTACCAAATCCAACAGCTTTTGGAAGGTATCAAACATGCCTACATTTTTCAACAGCTTAAGGGAGCCAATGGAAATGTGGACTTCTGGATGTTCAGAGTCCATGAGAGCAGCCTAGTGTCACTGGTAGACACTGAAGCACATGGACAACAAAATATCTCACACAGTCAAGCACCTGGATCCATGAAAATACATCCAGCCTCTTTAAGCTAAGGACAATTTTTGCCATGGGCATGGCAGGACATGGAGATCAGCAATTTATCTACATTATATATAAAATTCTTCTGAGCTGACAAGATTCTTGCCTGTGGTCAGAGGGTGTACTAACAGCTAAACCAATTTCACTAAGGGCCTTAACAGCTGCCATATCCTCTCAGCATGCTGGGAGAAGGAATGTCCTGCTGTTTATAAAGGGACCAAGGCAGGGCAGCAACAGAAACTGAGCAGGCCCCCTTTTCTCTGCTGCAGCTCTACTGAACACAAACCCAACTGCTTGTGTTATAGGGCAAAATGATGAAATCATGACATTGCCAAATGTGAATCATCACATCGGAACAGAGTGTAGTAGTTGATTGCAAGTATTTTTATGTTATGGAGCAATGCCTTCAACTCCTGCAGTAGACATTAATCAAACTATGTCTTTTCACAGAATTTATTGTGACAATCCACGGGCCCTGGGGATAACACCTAACTGTCTGCTGGCATCATCTCTAGCAGTGATTAAAGGGAGTGGAAAGGTAGAACAAAATGTCGCTAATAAGGAAAAGGAATAGTGAAACACTTCACTTTCTGGAAGAGAAGTCCTGCAGTGTTTTCTCACCATGACCTCCCACAGGAGTCAGTGTGAACCTTGTCCAAGAACTGCTGGAGATGCTTCCCTCTAAGATCTTATTTTCCAAAACAGATCAAAGGCAAAATATAATGCATGATCAGAAAACAAACAAAATAACTTAGGGACTGGGATAAACATCACCAAACTTTTACTGCCTTAAAAGGGAGAGGTTGTCTAGCCACATTTGGCTCAGTCACTGCAGAAATGGAGGTGATTCATCTCACCCTATGACACGTGTCTAAAAGACAGCAGATGACTGACTGTCTGGGAGAGCCTATTTCTCTCCACCAACTACTCAGTGACTACAGAGATGGTGTGTCTCCTTACAGAAGCTGGCCTGGTCCAACCTATGTTGTATTACCTTTTTATGGTTTTGAACAGATTGTCAATAGCAGGATAGATTCCAGTAGACCAGCAGAAGTTATAGAGATCTGAAAGGATGGCATAAGAAATCCATCAGAGTGTATCTGGTTCTCTGTTTTAAATCTTTCTAACATAGTTCTGCAAGTCATGAAGTAAGATTTCTGACACTGAATGCTTAGTTCAGTGGTTCATTTGGAGGAAGCATTATCATTCACAGGCATTACCCTGTGTGCAGCTACTAACCACAAAGATATTATATGACCTTTGAAAGCCACTTATGCTTTATAAGTTATTTAATTCTGCTACATGCTGCATTTAAAAACACTACTGATTTGAGTAATACTGAAATGCAAATTTATGATTTTTCACTATTCTAGGTCATTTGTAGAAGGGAAAAAAGGAAAAGGAAGGAGCCATATAATTTTAAATTTCTGCTGAGGAAATGTTAATTGGACTCTTAATTTTTACAAACATGTTAACACCTCACATACTGCACAAATACTATAAATTTGTAATCGTTATATTGTTACTAAGCAACACAAAAAACCAAACCAAAACCAAACAAGGAAGCCCAAAGCCACCAAAAATCCACAAAGGTCACTTAAAGACATATCTCACCCCTTGTCTGACATAGTCTGTTCCATTCAGCCAGAGAACTGGCAGATGGCATGCTGAGATCATTACTTCTCTTTCCTTTCAGTAAACACAGTGCAAAGTGTCACAAGTTCACAACATGAGATTGTGTACCCACTTGATGACTCTGATTCTGTTGGCTTAAAACAGGGCTTTGACACTGGTTTCAGCAAATCAAGGAACCATGTACCACAGATCAAGGAGCCACAACCATGTACCACGGATCTATAATTATGGGAAATGGTCAGGCTTGATACAGAGTTGCCTTAAGTCGGTAAAGAACTGATGAGACTGGTTGAGAAAAACATGAGATGTGCCCCTGCTATCTTACCTGGCTTGTGCAAGGTGTAAGGACTGAACGATGCCTGGGTGAAGTGGAAGCCCCAGAGAAAACTTGCACCTCTCTACCAGCCACTGTGCAAGCAGCCTGTTATAAATGTGGTCCTTTAAGGAGACAAAGTTGTACTCAAAGACTTTCTAGTGAAGGTCAGACAGCCTTTCCTGCCACCTCAGCAGGTGAAGGACCTTTTGTGTCAACTATAAATTCTGACTGAAAATAACCAAGACATTCATGAAGGCCTATTTGTATATTAACTTTTACATCCTAAGGATGCAAATAAAGAAAAGTGAAAACACACCTTACATGTACAATCATAACACTCAAAACCCCACCTATGGCATAAAGGAAGTGAGGGGTTGGGGCAAAGAAAGAAAAAAGGAGAGAGGGGAAATCACCTCTGCTTACTTGGGATTGGTTGATGGACTGTCCTCCTGCCCTGAAGGGATGCCTCCAGGCGAGCTTTGTGCCTTCAGTGCATTGTAAAGACCTGGGAATATTTTTATATTTCTATCTATATATCGGTAATAGAGCTGTGTTACTATCACCTGCTGTAGTGATAGGATTGCACTAACTACAG